GCATGAAGGTGAATGACAAGGTCAACATAAAATTAACACATTTATCAGAAAGGCGACAGCCTGGATGGGAGATAGATTTATCACCCATATTGTCACAATTAATGAAATATAGTCAAATTAAAACTAATTTTAGTGTCCGATTAGCGCCTTTACCACAGTAAAAAGGGGTGTGAAACATGCAGGTTAAAAACTGTATATCAGGATGTATTTTTTAGGCACAGCACGTACAGTTAGTATGCAAAGTGTACTTAGACTTGTATCGTGCATTCTTAAAAAATGTTTTAGAGTTTTTATCTTGCTGAGAATGAAAGGAAAATGTTTTAATAAAGACATCTGAATAACAGAGACATCTAGAGAAGATGCTGAAACAAAACAAAAAGGGGATGCATATTTTGGTGAAACCTGAGTGACAGACAGGTGTGTTGGTGAGAAAAGGCATTTAAATATAACTCAATCATCCTGTCTCACTTACTGCTGGAATACCGAGTATCTGATTCTCTGCATATATAAGGAAACAAATGACATTAATCTGACTAAAGTCTGGGTTATACTCCAGTTCAGACATGGACAAATGGAGACCTGGTGCCTGGATGCATTTGAACTTGTTTTTTCTCTTGTTTAAATCACTAGTAAATTACTTGCCAGGGAAAAAATACTTTGACTGAATGCTGGGAGAATTAAGGAATTTCAGTAGTAGTATGCCATGTGATTGGCTGATTAAATATTCGTGTTAACAAGTGGTTGAACAGGTATATCTAATATAGGAATATGGATATGTTGCCCACATACCTGATGAACCTCAGGTAGCCATTGTAACTTAATAAATATTGCAGCTGTAAGTGAGACTGTGTAGGAGTTGTATTTAATTACTTTTAAATACTGACTCAGGAAACTGACTTCCCATTCTGACAGTGGGTCCCAGGTTTTAGAAAAGAATGAATGGTCAAAGACAAGTACTTAAAAATAACAGGTTTAGGGGCATGAAATAATTTAAGTTTTGGGGACTTTCAAAGATGATACTTTGACTGTGCAGAAAGAGCTTTACACTGTCAGCACTCCCCAAAACAACCCAGACAAGTCCCAAGCTCACCACTCCTTCTTCCATTTATCTATCACCACACAGATGTTCACATGCACACATTTTAACACACGCACACACTCAGGCCCAGTACCGTGTGTGCTGCTGTAGGTGACTGAGCTGCCTGAAAGTTTTCTGGCAGTACGTGCAGGTGTAGGGCTTGGCCCCGCTGTGGATACGAATGTGCTGGGACAGGTAGCTGGAGTTGGCAAACGACTTGGAGCAGTGGGGGCACTTGTGGGGCTTGGCCTCGGTATGGGACTTGGCGTGGATCTGCATGTCTGACTTGCTGAAGAATGTCACTGCGCACATCCGACACCTTGGCAGGCAAGGAATGAGAGGAGAAGAGAAGAAGAAAACAGTTATAGTTATGATAAACAAAGCACAGAATAAAACTGCAAGTATCTAAAACACCATTAATATTTTCCTAAACTTAACGCACTTTATCCTACCTGTAAGATTTGGGTCCGTCTTTGTTAGTGTGATCATCCTCATCATTTGACAGATCATATGGGTCGCCAGCGTGGTGCTACAATACAATAATAAAAAAATTACTTATGGTTGTGAAGGTAAAATGCCTCATAGTTGGTTCTATAAAAGGAAACAAGAAAAAAGAAAGAACATAGAAAATTCACCTGTCCACCAGCAGCAAGGTGTGCCAGTATTAACGCATCACTTCCTGGAGGGAGGACCCCACCCACTCCAGCCACCCTGCTCATCACCTGTTTGCTTTTCCTGCCTCGTTTTGATGGTGCCGGCATGACAACAGCAGGAGCAATGTCCTCCTTCTTATCTAAAAATGAGAGAAAATTGAGAAAGAAAGAAGGGAAAGGAAACAGGGAGTGTTGAGTGAAAACAGGGACAGTTTGGAAAAATTATGACGCACAGCTCAACACCAAACCTTACATAAGACAGATACACAGATGTGTTTGATTGTATATGGATGTAACAGTGAAATTGCAAGAATACATTTGGGTGGGAACAGGAATAAAGTGTCTAAAATAAAATGCTAAAGAGGAGCCCTGAGCCTCATAATTTTTTTTTTACGTTAAATTATTAAAATGATGGTGAGCTGCACCTGTGTATTACCTGAATTTGAGGGGTGCACTGCAGACACTATCATGGTGGTGGCAGTGGGGTGTCCAGCTACAAAAGACTGCGTGGAGGCGGTGGGGACCAGTGTGCCCTGTGGGGTGGTGATCACTAACCCCGCTAAGAGGAAAAGAAAAACTGTGATCTGGCCGTCCCGATCTCACTCTGTTAGGCTTTTATTCTAACTAACAGTTAATGGATGATGCAGTGATAAAAGAACTTTAATTTTCAACCTTGCAACTTGAAAGCCACACAATATGTTATAAAGGACAAAGCTACAGCACTAACACAAGACTCGCTAAGGTTTATACAAAAGATTTTAACGAATATTTTTAAACAAGCTGTGCATAAAAAAGGGGTAAAACTGCTAATATTAACACTAAGTACTACTACTAACACCTAAATGGAAACTGAAAAAAAAACCTGTTGAGATTGTGATTAGTAGCCACTGTAGATTAATATGTACAGTGTCATTCACTCCTATGCACATATCTTGTGACACCAACAAATATGGGTAGAGTTCAAAAAGTTCTGGAAAGAGTTCTATAAAAACCAAAGACCTTACCTGGTTTAAATTTGGCTGAACTCCCATTTGAGATCATCTTTTATGGGATCTGCAGACAGCTTCCAACATGGCTGCTCTTTTTGTATTGCTCTCATTCTGATTATTTACACGGTATGCACTGTGTATAACCGCAGGAAATCAAACTGTGTCAGCAAGCAAACATCAGTTTCAAGCTGATCAAGGTACATGCTTGGTGATGAGACCTGGGTCCAAGCAGTCCACAGCTAACCGGTTTTTATACGAGTCCACAGTTCCAAGTATGTCTGATGAGGAGTGAGACCACGAGCAAGCCCGGTGTGTTTTTAAACACACACACGGTTGGACACCATGATATCGTTCTCCAGGGTAACTCTGAGAGACATGATGAGTGTCTCCACTGTGATGTCTCTGGCACACTTTTAAAGCATTTCAGAAACAACACATTTAGTATGCCTGCTGGGTTTTATTTTAAAAACTGACTAACTTTCAACTCTGTTCCTTTGTCTGTTACTTCCTGCCCTTCTCCTATGCTCTGTGCTGCTACATGTTGCTTCTGTAAATAAAAAAAGAACTGTTCGCTTTTTCTAGAGCAACTTCTGATGGAATTGCTACCATTGTCTCGAGTGGGTGTGAGGAAGCAGCCGTGCCTGCTGCACTCCCAGGATGAGTCTGTTAATGTGA